CCCTATCAGCCCAGAACTAAAACAATTCCCAAGGCCAACTCTTCAGACATGGATTGGACTGGACTGTGGGACATAAAGTAATACTCGCGACGAGTGTGCGTTTTAGCTGAAGTAGATACAAGAGACTAAACAGGCAGCTTCTGGCCGGAGGTGAGATGGGAAGGCAGAGAGGGTTAGGAGCTGGGTGAATGGACATGGGGAACCAGGGGTGGAAAGGAGGAGTGTGCTGTCACAGCATGGGGACAGCAGTTAGGGTCACATAACAGTGCATGTATAAATTTTTGTATGGGAAAAAATTAAAAAGTTAAAAAAAAAAAAAAAAAGCAACCAAACAAACAAAAAAAGCCTAACAAACACATGTACTAAACAATCAGCTTTATTCAGAGTTCTCCCGAAATGGTTAGATGGAAAAATTAAGTGGGACCTTTTACCTTCCATCCCAAATCAAAAGCACAGGAAGAACTGCTTTTCGCAATGATGAAGTAACTAGTATCAGGCTAGTCCTCCTAATATAAACAACTATAAAACTGAACAAAATATATAAGGCAGAGGTTTTCAGACAATCAGACAAGTGGTATAAGACTGCAATCCCTGAGAGAAGAGGAACTTATGAAGTGACTCCATGATCACCCAGATCTCAGGCAAGGGACAGTTTCCTGAGTGTAGTGCAGGAAGATGAAGTCCATGGCAGACCTGCTGAACTGAGGAGGGAGAGATCAGAGTTGGGTCAACTTAAGTGGCTGGAATCAGCAGGCCAGAAAGTAAAGTGCTACGGAGGCGTAGGGGTGAGAAGTCCACATGGGGATCCCTCAAAAGTCCTTTGCTAAGGTCTGGGCTGTACACACATAGGGCAAGAGTACCAAAGCTTACCAGAGCAGCCACTACAGGTCTGAGAGTACAATGGAGATACTAGAGGTCAAGAAGTACTGCAGGACATTGGAAGTACATCTAGCCAGAGTGGAGAGACCTGGTTAACATTACAGGTATCCAGCTAAGACATCAGAAAGACTACTCCTTAGCAGTTAGCACAACACCCTGGAATAAGGCCTACTACATACCTACCCAAACGAAGTGGAAAACCAACTTCTAACAAAATCAATAGGAGAGACCAAACTTGTAGGTTCATCTTTGCTTTTGGGTAAATGCTGACCACTTGGTCTCATATAATTGATTGTTTAGGAGCACATTCCTCACAGGTGGTATTGTTTATTTTATAGGTCAATCTATTATTTGGGTGAAAGGTGACCTCCAGGAGTAGCTTCAGTTCCAGACTAAAAGGGTATCTTAGGGCAACAGTCTTGGAGGTTCTTCTAATCTCTATCAGTCCAGTAAGTCTAGTCTTTTTTTAGTTTTGTTCTACCTATTCTCCCACTTTAACCAGGACTTTCTACTGTGTTCCTGGTCACAACAGTTGGTGGTGGTAGCGGAGCACCATCTAGTTCTTCTGGTCTCAGGCTAGAAGAGGCTGTGGTTCACGTGAGCCATTAGTCCTCTGAACTAATTTCTTCATTGAGTCTTTGGTTTCCTTCTTTCTCTTTTGCTCCAGACAGGAAAAGACCAATAGTTGTATCTCAGATGGCCGCTCATAAGCTTTTAAGACACCAGACCCTACTCACCAAACTAGGATGTAGAACATTATCTTTATGAACTAAGTTATACCAATTGACCTAGTTGTCCCATGAGACTATGGTCCTGAGCCCTCAAACCCAGTAAATCAATCCCACAAGATGTTTGGGTATGTCTAGGAAGTATCCATAACTATGCCTCCATGTGCTTTATTGTGTATATGAATACATATGCAGCTCATACAAACATGTATATACATATGACAACAAATATGCATATGCATGCGCATGTACTCTCATATGCCTTCCCACACCCATACAGCATACATATCTACCTATGTAACCATTCACATATTTTTTTGCTTGTTATTACTGTTGTTGCAAAATTCTATATGATATAGCATTTACAGTAGTCCTTCATTCTTGTATACCTCTCAGTGTCTTCATTTACCTTGGTCAAGCTGTGCTGACTTTCCCCATATTGTGTATTGCCTTTTCCATCACAGAATTAACATGTGTCTACTATCTAGTACTCATACTCATATAGGGTCGCTATGAGTTGGAATGGCAATGGGTTTGGTTTTTTGGTTTACTATCTAGTAAGTGCAGCCCTGGTGATGCAGTGGTTAAGAGCTTGGCTAATACCCCAAAGTTAGCAGTTCGAATCCACAAGCCGCTGCTTGGAAACCCTATGGGGCAGTACTACTCTGTCCTATATGGTTACTATGAGTCAGAATCGACTCAATGGCAACAGGTTTGGTTTTTTGGTTTCTAGTAAGTGATTCCACCTCCCTCTCCCTCCCATTCCTGGTAATCATTATCAAAGAATGTTGCTTTCTGTGTGTATACCTATTCTCAACTTTTTATAAAAGTGGTATCATGTAATACTTGTCATTTTGTGTTTGACTTATTTCACTGGAAATAATGTGCTCCAGATTCATCCATGCTATGTGTCACAGATTCATCATTCTTTATTGTTGTGTAGTATTCCAGAGTATTTGTGTACCACAATTTGTTTATTCATTCATCTGTTGATGGACATTTAGGTTGTTTCCATCTTTTTGCTATTATGAATAATGCTGCAGTGAGCATGGATATGCATATGTCTATTCATGTCACTGCTCTTATATCGCTAGAATATATACCTAGGAGTGGGGGTGCTGGATCATAAGGTATTTCTATTTCTAGCTTTCTAAGGAAGCAGCATACCATTTTCCATAGTGGATGTACCATTTTACTATCCCACCAGCAGTGTATATGAGTTCCAATCTCCCACAACCTCACCAGTATTTGTTGTTTTGCTTTTTTGATGAGTACCATTTTTGCAGGGGTGAGATGATATCTCATTGTAGTTTTGATTTGCATCCCTCTAATGGCTAATGATCGAGAGCATCTTTTCATGTGTTTGTTAACCGCCTGAATGTCCTCTTTGGTGAAGTGTCTGTTCATGTCCTTTGCCCATTTTTTTATTGGATTGTGTATCTTTTTGTTGTTGAGTTGTTGAAGTTTTCTATATATTTTAGAGATTAGACCCTTGTTAGATATATCATTACCAGAAATGTTTTCTCAGTCTGTAGGTTCTCTTTTCACTCTTTTGGTAAAGTCTTTTGATGAGCATAAGTATTTAATTTTTAGGAGGTCCCAGTTATCTAGTTTGTCTTCTGTTGTTCATGTATTTTTAGTTGTGTTTGATAGTGTATTTATGCCAAAAATTAGGATCGTTAGCTTTGTCCCCTTTATATTTTAGCGTAAACATTTAGGTCTTTGATACATTTTGAGTTAGTTTCTGTGTATGGTGTGAGGTCTGGATCCCGTTTCATTTTTCTGCAAACGGATATCCCAGTTTTGCCAGCACCATCTGTTAAAGAGATTGTCTCTTCCCCATGAATGGACTTCAACCCATTGTCGAAGATCAGCTGTCCAAAGATAGATGGATTTATTTCTAGGTTTTCAATTCTGTTCCATTAGTCTATGTGTCTGTTGTTGTACCAGTACCAGGCTGTTTTTATTACTGTGTCTGTACAGTAATTTCTGAGGCTGGAACATGTGAGGCCTCCTCCTTATTCTTTTTCTCCCAGATTTCTTTAGTAACTTTTTTGTGGAATCTCTGGGATTTTCTATGTATAGGATCATGTTATCTACAAACAGGGATAGTTTCATTTCTTCCTTACCAGTTTGGATACCCTTTATTTCTCTTTCCCCTATTGCTCTGGCTAGGACTTCCAGTACAATACTGAGTAAGAGCGGTAATAATGGGCATGTCCTGTACATTTTTAGCAGCATCCCTGGCCTTGCTTTCTCCATCCAATTGAACCAAACCAGCTACCATCAAGCTGACTCTAACTCATGGTGACCCCATGTGCATCAGAATAGAACTGTGCTCTATAGGGTTTTCAAGGCTGTGATCTTTCAGAAGCAGATCACAAGGCCTTTCTTCCAAGGCACCTCTGAGTGAGTTCGAACTGCCAACTTTTCGGTTAATACTTGAGTGCTCAACCATTTGAGACAACCAAAAATGTTTCCAGATACTGCCGCATGCCCTCTTGGGGAAAAAAAACTGACCCTGATGAGAACTACTGTCAAAAACAAGTCTTTTTTCTCCCCTAATTTATGTTTTTAAAAGGATGCTTATAATTTACAGTGAAAGCACCAATGTCTTCCAAATAAAATATCTGATGTTGAATTTTGAAAGGAATTCCCTTCATTCAATGAAAAAGTTCTCCAACTTTAGGGGATATTAGGTTTTAGCTATCTGGATTTGATTTGGATTTTCTATGTGGTTAGTTGGTTGGTTTTGATTTTCACTATAAAATCAAGCAGAGTTTCTATTTTCTGGGATGCTCCATTCATCATTCACTCACCTCTGAATAACAGATGGAAATAAGCTAAACAGAGCTAGATTGCTTTATTAAAGTAAAAAGCAACATGTTTCTCAGTCATTTGTCAGGAGAATATGACACTTTCTTCACCTAGTTGATCTAGGACACATCAAGGAATTGTGAAAAAAAAGAATATCTTAGATTTTATGTTCCTATTAAGGAAATTGAGCCTTCAGAAAATACAGAACATTCTTTCATATCAGTTATGTAAATCTAAACATCCTTTTAACACAGTTTAAAAATGTTAATCAACGTTAATAGCCAGCTCTTTCCAAAACGAGACTACTGATCAAGAGCAACGTGCAGTTTTAAAAAGAAAATATTATAAAATCTGCAAGTCTGATTTAATTAGCTAGGGATGTAACCATAAAATTTATTTCAGAAAAAGTTATTCATAATTGTTGCCGCTACCCTCCCAAGGAAGAAAGAAAAATTCCCAGAATCCTGTTGCATTTTTATGGTATTTTTTTTTTCCAGGACAGGATACAGACAGTACAATGTCAAAGTAAAAATGTATGCTCTAAGTCATATGCCAAGTCCATTTCATTTGACTCACCTATATGATAAAGTCCAATCCAGTCACTGGGGTCCACCTCCTCTTTAATGTCCCAGAAGATGATGAGGTTCTGCGCTTGCCCCAGCGTGTACTCGTACATGCTGGCAGTCAAGCTGGAGCGGCTCTCGGAAGTCACCAGGTCTGTGTCGCTGTTGGCCCGCTGGAGGGTCATGTTCTCTGACATGGAGCTCTGGGCAGCAAGGCTCTGGAGGTTCTCGGGGCTCAGTGTGTAGCGCATCTGGGGATTTCGACGCCGCACAAAAAGCAGATGCTCCCGAGCTGAGCTAGCCATCCCGTCTGCCTCTCTAAGATTGGCTTCCTACAAAGCTGCAAGAGAGAGAGAGAAGCATATAGCATTAGTGCTACGACGGAGGAGTTAAGTTTAAGCTTCCCAGACATTAAGTCTTGACGACTGTTTACTAAAGCCTGACCCCGCAATAATCTTCTGCTGTCTGAATGAAACCTGTTATGCTGCTGTCAACAGGTGATGTCAGAAACAATTTCTATAGACTGAGGTCACATGAGGGCAAAGACTATCACACACCCGTGACCAATGATTTCACGCAGCACAGCTTCCTCCTAGTAATTAAGGAGGAGGAGGTTTCTCTACCATCCCCTTTAAGCCTATCCTTGCTCAGACATCCCACCTTCAGAAATGGCATCTTCTTGTCCTTCCCTACCCCACACGCATATTTATTTCCTGTTGCAAATAAATTTTAAAATACCGTAAGACAGAAAAATTTGACACACTATATACAGTTGTGGAGTCCTCGGGTGGTGCAAATGGTCAGGTTGGAGGTTCGAGTCCACCCAGGGGCACCTCACAAGAAAAGCCTGGCGAGCTATTTTCAAAAAATTAGCCATTGAAAATTCTACAGAGCACAGTTCTACTCTGACACACATGGGGTCGTAATGAATCAGAGTTGACTCGACGGCTGTTGGTTTGGCTTTTGCTTTTGTTTTTTCATTTTTGGTTTTTTTTTGGTATATACAGTTGAAATACATCATTGAGTACAAGTTCACTTGCTTAATTTCCTTAGCTAATAATATAACTCACTAAAGTCTTTTTCAGGAGTCTGCTCAAATGTCACCTCACTTGAATACAGTGGCAATCATATTTAAAACCTCGTCTCCCTAGCATTCCCCACACCTGCTTTGTTGCTCACTATACCAATTATTATGATCTGATCTACCACATATTTTACTTATTTATTTGATTATTGTCCACCTCCTCCAACAAGAATCTAAGCTTTACAGAGGCAGGAATTTTTATCTGTTTTGTTTGCTACTTTATCCCCAGTGTATAAAAAAGTACCTGGAACACCGCAGATGTCAATAAAAATTTGTCAAATAAATGGATGAATAAACAGTGAGCATTTTTCTCCTAGATACACCTTGGCACAACTTATATCTTAGGCCCCTTTTCTGGGCCCTGTCCATCACCATCTCTGATTTTCTGGCTGGTCCACCCTATTTCTACCATCTAGATGCATGATAAGCTAACCTTTGGCTTCTGCTTGGCCTTGATCTAGAAAAACAGGGCTTTTCCTGTTGGAACTTGGAATCTAGTCCTAAAATTCTGTTTTTTTCCTCCACTGCCTGACTCTGACAGGGATTCTTGCCAAGACCTTTGTACTTTAATTGAGCACAATCAAGATTCTACCTGCCAGATCTTACTGGCTTTGCACAGAATGAATCTGGTTCTCCAGTACACTGCCCTCTCTCAGAACTACATAATTTACTAATGCATTTATGAATTTAACATTTATTCAGCAACCCTAGTACATGCTGACATCCCAGATATCCTATATATCATTTAAAGGCCAACCTCTACTTGGGTACTGGGGAGTCAGCAGGAGCTTCCATTTAAAACAAAACAAACAAAACTTAACCGTTAAAACGGACAACCTTGAACACTGAGTCTGAGGAGATGAGAGGAGAGAGGAAGGCAGGAAGGAACGAGAGGCTTCCCTAACTCCTCCCACCCACAACCCACCATCGATTTCACAAGCACTATGGATAAAGGAGACATGCTGCCATAGCTAGAGATCGTAGTACTTGCAAATGTACTTATTCAAGTGATCTGCAAGTTTTATTTCAAATTCTTAGCACTATCCTGTGAACTAAAATAACATGGATTGGTGGTCAAGATATCCTATGTGAAAAGGATAGAAAATGAACATATAAGCTGATTTATACAGTTTAATGGTATTAGGTCCCATATCCCTCTTAATAAATTTAGTAGTTCTTTTCCTTATGTGGAACATGGTAACTCTGACATCATTCTATAACCTGCAACTGTTAAACAACCTCAAATACCTCCCCATGAACACCAAAATACAAGACAACTTCTAATATGTTTTATGCAATTTTCATTTTAGTATATTTCAATAGATCATTCTTTCTTTATAAACCCAGAGTTAAACACCGCATCAGCTTCAGCTGATTAGAAAATAATAATAAAGCTGTATATACTTAATTTCATCTTGCCTCAACATACTCATATATTAAGTGGCAGTAACTATAATGTCTCTTGCAAGATTGTTGGGATTAGAAAAGCCATAGGTAAAAGTGCTCAACAAAAAGCAGCTACTCTGTTTTTGGTAAATGCTATAACATATACAATTTTGTAACAACAGCAATAATAACCAAAAAAATATGTGTGAGGTTACATAGGTGGATATGTATGTGTATATGTGTATGGAGCCCTGGTGGCACAGTGGTTAAGAGCTTGGCTGCTAACCCAAAGGTCAGCTGTTCAAATCCACAAGCAGCTCCTTGGAAGCCATATGGGGCAGTTCTACTCTGTCCTATAGGGTTGCTATGACTCATTATCAACTCAATGGCAATGGATTAATATGTGTATGAGAAGGAATATGTGCATATATGTAAATGTACAGGCATAACTATAGGTATATGTATATACATGATCATGTGTGCTGACTATACATTCATATATGTAATAAAGCACATAGGAGGCACAGTTATGGATACTTCCTAGACATAACCAAATACCTCTCAGGATTGGTTTACTGGGTTTGAAGGCTTAGGACCATAGTCTCATGGGACAACTCAGTCAGTTGGCATAAAATACTTCATAAAGTTTATATTCTACAGCCTAGTTTGGTGAGTAGCATCTGGTGTCTTCAAAGCTTGCTAGCAGCCAGCTAAGATACAATTATTGGTCTCTACTAATCCAGGCGAAAGAAAAAGAAGGAAAGCAAAGACTCAAGAATCAAATCTACAGGACTAACAGCCCACACAAACCACAGCCTCATCTATCCTGAGACCAGAAGAACTAAATGGTGCCTGACTACCACTACCAACATTCTGACCAGGGACAAAATACACGGTCCCAGATAGAAGGGGAGAAAATCGTAGAACAAAATTCAAATTCTTTTTTAAAAAAAGGCCAAACTTCTTGGACCAGTAGAGACTAGAGGAACCCCCGAGACTATCACCCTACATGCCCTTTAAACTTGGAACTGAAACCACCCCGGAGGTAACCTTTCACCTAAATAACAGATTGGCTCAAAAATAAGCAATATCACCCGTGAGTACTGTGCTCCTTAAGAAAAAGAAAAAGCAGCTATTGTTATTTTACTAGGCAAACAACATAATTACTGAACTAATTAATGCTTTATTTAGTTTGGGGTATCTCTCTGTGCCTGAGTGTCTGAAGAGAAGAACACTAGCATTTGGAAGACGGTTAACATAAATAAAATGTTAGAGACCAATTTACACATTAAAAATCACTAACAAACATGGTTGAAATTGTAAAACCCTCCATATGAAGATGACCCTAATGACCCTGTACTTCGGAAAGAAAGAGAAAACAGCTCATGCTTCCCTTGCTTCCTCCTGTTCACATGGCTCCCAGCTCCAAAGTCTAGAAAGTGGCTACATGTAGGTTATACTGGCCTCTGAGTTACAGCTTAGGAACTCAACCACAGCTCCTATAGCATTGTTTCTAAATAAAAATGTATTTTAACTTCCAAACAACCAACTTGTAAAAGAACTTTTTGAACACACCCACACACAAGCCAGTCACTCGGCAAAATAAGAAGCAAAACTGGAGAGGGAAGACTAGAAGAACCTTGGACACAGAATGTGGAGTAATTCAGTTGGAACCACACCATGAGTAATGAGTGGAGAAGCACTCCAGGCTCGGGCAGAGAAGCAAAAATGTGGAAGTCAAGTTTAGAAGAACTTAATCTGAGAGTGTATGCAGGACTGACTGAAAGAGAAAGAAGACACAGGCGGGCAAACCAGTTGACGCTAACTGGTGAGTCACGGCACCTGGCACCGAGTGCATAAGTGTGAACTGTAGTAACACCAAAAGGAAATATCAGTCAGGAATATTTCAAAGAGAGTACTCAAAGAACTGATGACAGATTGGGTATAGCGGATAAGAGCAGGGCTTCAAATGGTTTGCTGTGGTTCAAACCCCTGCTGAGAATTTGCATTTCCACCCCCAGATATACTGAATCAGAATCTACAGTTTAAAAAGATCCCCAGGTGATTCTTATGTATAATAAATTTTGAGAACCACAGCTCTACTAGTGGTTATCAGAATTGGTCCCTAACCAGCAGCATTAGCGTCGCCTGGGAACTTGTTAGAAATGCAAATTCTCAGCAAGAGTTCAAAGCGCTGGATAAAAGTGAAGGAGAAATTAAGACTAAATTCTAGATTTTTAATCTCAGTAATTACGGAATCCCAGAAACACTGACAGGGGTGAGAAAATCAATCCCATTTTAGGTGAGTTTGAAGTAAATCCAATATATTCAAGCAAACATATTTTGAAAACACTGAATTGCCAGTTATTATGAGACTAGGCATAAAACAAATACTCAGTTGCAAGTTTCTGCTTGATACCCTTAGAATTAATTAAAATTGACCATGCCAATGGATCCCTAAAAGTTGCATCTTGGGGTTTAAAATCGTCATTCACATGTTTTACTTTAGGTCAACAGGAAAATAAACAAAGTCAGAATTCTTGTATTACAATGAACTACCACCAAAACTGCTTTGGAAAACTTATGTTTTTCCCTTGTAGGAAAAGTAATGTATTTCTTAAGAGTTCATGTTTCCACAGTAAATAAGATTAGACATCATGCAAATATTAAATCACAACGTTGAATAAAAATGCAAAAAAATCAAAGCACTCTAAATTTTATATTTAAAATTTTAGTTTATAACTGTTATTCAATTCAATGTTCTCATACAGAAAAATTAGTGCTACTCAAACAATAGGGAATTGCTACTGTACATTTTCTCCTATTTAAACCTAAGAATTCCTGGTTTGCTTCTCGGTTTCATACCTATG